GAATTTTCTCTTTTTCCCGCGCTCATCTTTCTTTAACCTCAGTTTATTACAGTATTATTTAGGCAAGGAGTTGCGCTTTTTTTTAAGCGCAAGTCTAAAGAAGACTAGTCAGGGTTCTGTTTTATCCTGAGACTTGCCACTGAGCTTATTTTAGCTTACGAATGGCAGTTTTGAATATCGGCTTCGTTAAGCATTCCTGATTAGGCACGGTACTACAACGCATCATTTAAAAAAAAAGCTTAAAAGTGGATTAACTTACCAACCGCAGAATCCTGAATGAAAATCAAACTCACAAGGATCATAAAGCCACGAACTGTTTTCATTTCGAATCGAATTTCAGGAATAGCTGGTAAAAATCTCTTTTACGAGCTTTAGCTCAGGCTGTTTGCGCAAAAGAGAGTAAGACGTGATAGTTTATAGCCACATTCACAACTGAGATGAAAATACGATATGTGCAAGGTTTATAAAGCGTTAGGTCATGTTTATGATAGCAAAATATTGGATATGGTTTTTTTTTCTGTCCTTATTAAAAGGAAAAAAAATGACATGGACAATATCCTTTCATAATGATTGAACAGACTTCGTTGTGGTGTTAATTTTTTTGACTTACTTCAAGACTTACAGCTCATGTTTTCCGTTGCCGTATTGCAAAACCATTCTCTGGAAAACCCTTTTCTTTGCAAAAAAAAACTAAAAAAAGGAAGAAAAAAAAACATCTCCAGACGTTACGAAGTGTATAAATCAGCTGCCAGACTTTTTTCGTGCAGAACTAAACGAAAGCGGGCAATCCCATGGGGGCATGACATGACCTGACATACTCATACTGCCCGCTCATGTCGCCAATCAGAAGACAGGATTACCGTGATTACCATCACTCTTCGAACCAAATGATATGGATGTCATATTGTGTTAGGTGTTTTCATGGCAACATTTTCAACCTTAAATATAGTTCAAAGATGATAAATGAGACAAACAATAGTTGATGACATCACGTAAATATTTCGGCTCGAATTTAGTCGGACGTTTCGTTGTAGTATAGTGACATCACTTTTAAGAATAGCCTTTTCTCGGGGTTTAAGTTGCAAATATATAGAGATTGTGGCGCAAAGTGAAAAAAGTAAAAGGTTTGTGGGTTCTTCACGCTTCATGCTTGCAGCTTTGTTATGAGAAAACGTTTTGATAATATTGTTCTAAATATCATGATAACTACAAGTAGTTTCTACACTTCTAGTACTCGAAGGTTATTCCCTGCATATACCATATTACTCGATTCTAGGAGCTTTTTCCGGTTTACTTTATCAATAGCTATGGCGACCTGTAACACAGCACTTTAAAATTCATTGTAATCCGTTCACTAAACCCTAATTAATGTTAGGTGTGGACGTGATGTAAGATTTATTTGGTCTTGTTCCAGAACTAGCCAATTTCTCCCCCCCTCACAATCTATTACCAGAAAACAATCCAGGTGCCCATAGAAACACAATCTGATAGATCTATGTTGGATCGGCTAGTTGTTCTCTCACAGCGAACTTATTCTTTCAATTTCTTTTTAACCCCTCTCTTTGTGTTTTCCTTTTTTCATAACCTGCAACGCCACTGAAATATTTAGAAAATGTTGATTTTTCATAATATAAATGAAGAGTTTTCTTTGCAAGACGGAATTTACTGATTTTGATGATACAGTCTTCTTCAACTCAACGACTATTACATCCTTATTTCTAAAGTCTATCACCAATTTTTGGATTTAACGATTTTCCTTTTATCTAAACTCCTTTGTTTGTGTGATGTGCCTGACATGTAGGACACATATTGCGAAATTAGAACTGCGCAATAGTTACGCCGGACACTTTTCTTACTTGGCAAAGAATAGAACGCTTTTCGGTTTGAATGTCATGCCACCAGCTGCCCGAGGTGCGTAAGCTTAACAGGCATAAGAGAGCTTCCCTTGAAAAACGCAAAACAACAGAAGAGTTATCTCGAGCACACAATAAGTTCAGCGAGAGCCCTTTCCTTGCTAGGGCATGTCTAAACACCGCATGGTCAAGCAAAGAACTGCAATTTCTGAACTGCGTGTTTGACAATTTGGTTAACGGGTTGCTTATCCGATTATTAACATTCATATTTACCATTTTGTCTGAATATGAGCGAGGACGTACTTCTTGCCATTTAGCCCAGATCTTAATTGATATTAAGATGTTCTACTTTCGGATTGTTTCAGGAAAAATAAATCGGCTTTGTCGTTTATACGTGGTTTGATTTAGCTCATTAATTATCTTACTGTAGACAAACACAAAACTTTGTTTTTAAACAAATATTTGTAACTTAAAGAAGCAGATGAATTCAAATACTTTTTAAAAAGAAGAGAAAAAGGAACTAATCGGTAATCCCAAAATCAAATGAAAGTGAAAGAACCCTCAAGTTTTCGACCCTCGTCGTCTGAAATGTGTGACATGTTAGAGAAGGCAAACCTCGAAAACCGTGGCTTCCAAAAGGAAGTTGTCAGAAAGTCGTTTCAGAAGCCTGGAAGAACCGGATCGGATTTTGAAGTAAGAATTACGCATGTTAAGAAAATACCTAGCAGTTTATTTATCTTTTTATTTGTTTTCCTTAATACCATACATCGTTTACAAAAACCCATATTACTATCAGTACTTAACATTACTTACAATACTAGCACTTGTACTTTGATGTACAGTACTAATTTTTTTTTTTAAGTGCAGTACCAACAATATTTCATTGCTTACCAAGGTGATAACGATATTATCATTACTGATAACACAAAATGACCAGTATTTATTGCTTGGGAGGGGTGGGCGGGTCAGAGGATTTGGAGGGTCACATGGTTATTGCCGTGTGTCACCCAAGATCGAGCCAATGACAACTTTGAAATCTAAACTATAAGAAACAGAACGAACTGTTTTTTGAGCTAAGATCTACACTATCATTCCATAGAACAAGGTTTAAAATATAACTAAAGAAAGCTGGTATAGTTGACACGGGGAACTCTGAAAACCAGACCCTTGAGCCTCAGTCTTATAGATGCTTTAATGTTGAAGCCGAAGAGTCGACGGATCCTTTTCTTTACATTCTTGCTCTTGCTTCTCACATCGCAGCCCTTGCCTCCCCTGAAATCAACTTCCAGTCCCAATGCACACTTCCCGTTGCTGTCGAAATGCCTCCCTTTCACTTCCTTTGTTACCCAGCGGGACATTTCTCTTCCGAAAGCACCTTGGGAGAAAAAGAAATTGTTCGCCAGTAAGATTACACCTTTCCGAAAAACACTCGCAAAAACTAATGGTGCACCCTCACTGCGTTTACCAAACTTAAACAGTAGCAAAACAATAAGCCACGTTCGGATAACAATGTTGCGTTTACGCATTGATTAGGACACATTTTAATTCATTGTTTTCATGCAGTAGAAACGAACATGTACTTTATTATTTGGCCAATAAGAAATGGTCAGACTGGCAGATGGTACGGAAAATATCGAGATCAGTAAACTGAAAAAATTTCTACGAAAACAGAAAATGTCTTGAAATTGTTTTACGCGCCTCATTAACCAGCTCTATTTAATTCTTAGCTTTTAACATTCTTTAAATGGATTATTTTAAATACAGACTCACTTATAAAGATCAGTACCTGGCAAAGATGTGTTCAATTCCACTCCCATTTGTTGAATGGCTCCCACAGAGCAGTTCACCACCTTTTCATAATTGTACACCGTCTAAAGAAAAAAATAACTGCCTGTTTGAAATGTATTGTTCATTTCGTATACAATCATAAACATTAACGTTGATCAAGAGAATATAAACTGTTCTCTTGCACCTCTTCCTACACAGAAACGACAAGCACACATGGTACTAATCAATCCAATTTGTAGAGATTTCCCTGTTTAAAAAAAAATTAAACTAGGTATTACATACTTCCCTGTAACAACATTTAATACAAGATTAGTTTTGAACTAATATTTTTCGTAATGTTTTATCATTATCAGAGTTTATTGTATTTGCAATGCATATCAGAGAAGAAAAGCGTACAAACATTTATAAAAGAAAAAAATTACGGTATTGCTTGCATAATCTTTCAAATTTTTCTCAAAAAACTGTTAGTATGCTATGATCGTTTTTGCAAGCTTTTACATTATACTGTAATCTATTTTGTACTTTTACTATTGAAAGTATTGTTAGGATCATTATTACATTAATATTGTCGGCGTTGCTAGTAAAAATGTTATTATTGTACATCTAAGTAAAGCTAGTATTGTAAGTAATGTTTAGTAATATAGGTTTTTGTAAAAGATAAATGTATGATATTGAACAAAAAACAAATAGATAAATAAACTGCTCGGTATTCTCTTAGTATACATAATTCTTACTTCAAAATCCGACCCGGTTCTTCCAGGCTTCTGAGACGACTTTCTGACAACTTCCTTTTGGAAGCCACGGTTTTCGAGGTTTGCCTTCTCTAACATGTTACACATTTCAGACGACGAGGGTCGAAAACTGGAGGGTTCTTTCACTTTCATTTGCAAGTCTTCAGTCGAGGCACCTATAAAGACAACAAAAACAAGAGAATCCAGTTTCATTCAATCCTGAGCTCTGACAAAGTCGATAAGTTAAAAGTTTGACAGTTCGTAAATGCGGCTAAATTTACTTTTCTACGCAAGCAGAAAGTAACACTTTCATGACTTGACCGCTTTGGAGGTACAAAATAAATGAGGCAGGGAAGAGAGAATTTTTGTGAAAGAAAAACTGGAACAGCAGATCACTTGGACAGAAAATTGTTTCCGCTGAAGGAACTTTGTCTAATGCCTTACAATATTTTTCAGGTAATGATCTGCGCCTTTTAAAAAGTGTACTTCTAATTAAAATTAGCCACGGTTCTGTGTTATCTGGTGATTTTCCAGCAACCTGATTTAAGCTTATGAACAACAGTTTTGAGGATCGGCTCTATTAAGCATTCCTAATTAGGCACGGTACTATAGCGCTTCATTAAGAAAACTTAAAGGTAGACAACTTACCAAACGCAGGAAAGTAAACAAAATTAAAACACACAAGGACAAAGATCATCAAGTCACAAGTTATCTTCATCTCGAATCGAGTTTCTACCGCGTCTTGTTATAATCTTTCTTTGAGCGTTGGCACCAGCTGTTTTGCATAAACGAGCAGAAGTCGTAATAGTTTATAGCCACAACCTCAATTGAGAATGGAAGAAAATGTATGTGCATGGTTTATCAAGCGTTAGGTCATGATAAAGATAGCTGGATATTGGAAAGTCATTTCTTGTTTTTGTTCATATCAAAGTGAGGAGGACAATATTCTGCAATAATGATCGAATAGACTTCGAAGTGGTGTTCATTTCTTTGTCTCTCATCAATATTTACAGCAGCTGTGTTCTGTGACTCTCTCACTGCATTACTGGCTTCCGGTAAACTCTTTCCTTGGAGAAAAAAAGAGGAAAAAAAAAACATCCTCAGAAGTTATAAAGTATTCAAGGCAGCTACAGGTCTTTTCTTTGCAGAATTAAAAGCGGGCAATCCCTGGAGGGCACACGACTTGACATACCCGTACTGCCCGTTAGTGTCACCAATCAGAAGACAGGATTCCCGTCATTTTCCGTATTCGGCGAGCCAAACAACTTGATAGGGAAGCCATATTGTGTAATGAATTTTCATGGCGCCATTTTCAACTTCAAAATAAAAGCAACTCAATTGCAGGGATTTTTTGGTGATGATAAACCAGATAAACAATAATTGGTAACATCACGATAATATTTCGTCTCGAATTGAGTCGAACGTTTCGTTGTAGTAGAGAGATACCACTTTCAAGACTACCCTTTTCTAGGCCTTCGGGAAAAAACATGCAGAGACTGTGGCGCAGAGCGAAAGAAGTGAGAAGTTGGGGTGTTCTTCATCCTGGCAGCTTTGCTTCTGAACAAGAAATACAGGCAATATTGTTTTAATTATCATAATATCTACAAGTGATTTCTGTAATCGGGATCCTCACGATTATTCCTTTCATATACCTTATCATTCAATTAAAAAAAACACTTAAATAGGAATAGGTCTTCGCACTCTTTTGAACGAAATAAAATGACGATATACTCATTATATGAAATTATGTGCGACAAAAAGGCAAAATGCAGTAGTAGTGGAATGATACACAACCAGAAGTCTCCAGAAAGGACGGCCGTTTCTCTATATTGGGTATTGCCTCA